AAAGTAGGATTTGTGTTACACAACGAACATGCAGACTGCGCGGAAGGGTTGGGGCCGAGTAGTGCCGCTACGGGAATAAATGAGGAGAGAACGAGAGGCGAAAGAGTCGGCGAAGAAGACGAAGAAGAAGAAGTGTGTAGTACTGAGTCCAGCTCCTCCGCACGGAGATAGCGACAATGTGTCCGGACCCGCCAATACTAGATCAGGAAGTTTGATTCCATGAAGTTTCCGGTGGGACTGGGGGGAGGCGCCCAAACGAAAGACAGGAGCGGAAGGGCAAATAAGACCGCGGCAATGCTGGAACAAGTGCCAAGATGGCGGATGATGGCGCAAAGTCAGCTTTGCAAGCGCCTGACTAGGCCACTTGATGTCTCAGGTTTCGATGGCGGAGAAAGCGGAAGGGAATAAGTCGGAAAGTGAAGGAAAGGAGAGGCAGGGGGGGTGGGAGAGGAAATATAGATAGAGCGAGTGAGGCGATAGAGAGGGAAAATAGAATGAGGGAGAAAAAGGGCAAAGCTGGACAGAAGGAAGCATAGAGGATCAGTGAAAGGAAGCACAAGCCGACGAGCGTTGAAGGACGATCAACTTACTTACCCAGCCTAAGGCGTGGGTCTTGAATGTTGTGAGTGTAACAAGTGTTACCGGACTTATAGTAGGGTCGGCTTGTTGTTTTCTCTTTCCTCCTTTTGAGGTAGATTTGACGGAGAGTGGATCTGGGGTGTTATTTGTTGTTATTTGTTTGTTAACATTCCGAAAGGAGAGACTGTAAGTAAGAAGTAGATGTCACATAGAATAGAATATTCTCGTAGTAACTAACAGTGTATAGCAAGTGACGGGGAAAGGGAAGAGAGTGAAGACGAAGCCGCAGATACCCATCCGTCATGCTGGATGGACCTGCGGGTCAATACTGGGTAAGTTATGGTGTGTGTTGTGTGTTACGGTACCGCAAAAGTGGTTCTGGCCCGGCTTGTCTGCCTGGCGGCTGGCGTCATCGCATGTGGCTACAAAATCGAACTTGAAACTAATGTGCCTTCTTTAGACTAAAGATGGTCCCAGACGGACGGGCCACCAGTCTCGCATTTCCTTTTTGCTGCCCTTTTCTTTTCTTTTTTTTTTTTTTTCTCTCCTCCGATCCCCTGCCCCTGCTGCTTGAATCTCCTCGAAAGTCATTCCAATGAGATCGGCATGGATCATAAGAAATAACTGCAGGTCAACTAACGAAGTACGGGGTAATACCCGGGATATTACTTGTTGCCTGGCTTGCTGCAAGAGATGAAATTGACAATAAATGGGTCGCTAGTAGATAGAACAGGCGAACCGAATTTGCTAGTAATTAAAGAGAAACAGTCCTAATAAAATGACACTATAGTAATATTCATAACAATAAAATAAATAACAGTCATCAGAAAAGAAGTAAGTAACTAAGTAATGGACACCTATGTGGTATTATTGAGTAAAGTATTTACTCTCATTCCCTCCCCGTGGACAAGCCCCAACCGGGTCAGTCAGTCAGCCATTCGAGCAACCCATGGATGGCCGGGTGGATTATCCAGTCTATCCCACTAAAAAAGCACGCCCCCCGCGTAACTGACTCCTAGCACTGCCTCCAATCAGCTCATGCCGTGAATCAAAATAAGAAGTCAGTCCTATGGTTGCATCCCACCATCTCGCCAAATATAGAAACGCAGTCCTGCATGTCTTATTGCGACTGCCACTTCCCAGCCAATTCCACCGGTCGTCCTTTGTTTTTGCCTCTGCTCATCAACCCATGTTTCTCACCCACGAGGTGAGGAGAGGAGACAACGTATCACGCCAAGTGCAGCCTAACCAGTCATCGTACCCGCTGGTTTCTTATCTAGCAACCAGAAGAAAACTTAGACTGACCCTCGTAATGCGAAGTACTAGACTAGATATATCATGGTACGATTGGATGGATGTATGGAGGTGGATGGAGAAAAAGGAAAGGCGTCGTCGTGTCCCTTGTCCCTTATGGACGGAAGAATGCAAGGCGACAGTCAGAAAGAGGAATGGTCCGGCGCACTGCCACAGGCCCGCCGTGCCACACGGCATCAGATGATCTTGGCGGGTAGCTTCACTGAATACTAGACTGCTACTTGCATCTTTTCAGCAACTAATAGATAGTCCGCTGTGCTCCTTTTTCCCAGCTCGACTTCTCTCACACTATAAATAACCGGAATACCATAAATGTCCATATTTCACCCTAAATGATCGGACTGGATCTCCAGTTGCAGCTCGGCCCAAGCCCATCGAGACAGGAATAGTTCCGAAAGCCTATACCCCTGCTAAAGTCCGAGGCTAAGAATAAGAACTTGTTTAGTTCGAATCTAAAATTATAAGCGGCTGGGGTTGCTGCGTTGGTACGTATCGTTAGTCGTTTGTCGGTACCCTGCTATCCGAGCAAAGTAATCAATTAGCAAGGGTCCTTCTCTCTGTCTTAGTTAGTGCGATGTTGGGGACACTGCAGAGCAGCTAGCCGCAATTCTAGCCTCACCTAAAGTGGCTGCGGCATTTGCTCTTATCAGACAGGGTTGAACAGAGAGCATCAACTTTATTCATGATGCTGCAGGTTATGTAACCTTAACTCGGGCGGTAAAACAGGATTTGCCCCGTTTATAAGACGCCTACTATTGCTCAGCATGCTCTCCCCTCGACCAAAGCCACCGATGATTCGTTGTTGACTGTGGCTGGTTAGCATAACAAGCGATCAAATCACATCTTTTTCTAGAAGCACGTACTTTCATACTTCTGAGATGTTCAACAGGGAGTACGCACTCCGTAGCGCAAACCCTAGCCCGTGACCCACCGGCCAGGGTGTTTCCCCTCTTAGTCTGCTAAGGCTGCGGAGCTCTCCAAAGATGATCGCAGGCTTGACACGCAAACTCCTAGCAGCGATCATTGCTGGTTAAGAGATAATGTCGGCAGCATGACCTCAGCCGTAGGATCCAGCGCGGGAAAGCTTCTCCTACCACGTAGGCATGTCCTGCGTTCGCCAATATTTTTGAAGATCCAACCAGTCTCCTCCATCATGTTTCTCCGCTTACGAACTTTACTCGCTTGATCGTCGTTCCCTTGAAGCATTTCATTGGAACACGATTGCAGGATCAGCCTTGCGGTTGTCATGATGCAATCAATCCTAGCTTGTGAGGTATGCCAGCTTTATTTCCCCCTCGCCTTACGGCAAGCTAAGACTCAGTACTTTTTGAGGAGGGGTGATACAATCGACAGAGTAGGATATAATACTGGAAGAGAGATGATCCTCAAGTCCTAAGCGATCTTCTGCCACATGAGTCTTGTTGTGTTTCACCTCTGATGGAGTCCCTCTCTGTCTCCACTTGCTTTAGCACCCCCCCTACTCTGTAGAGTCAGCTGCAATTGAGTTTCGGCTTGAGGACAAGCTCAGCGATAGGTTTACCCTCGATGACCGTGTATCGCGTATAGTCATCTTAACTAACTTCGGTTGCTTTATATCAATATTTCTACGAGCATACCTCTGAGGGCACAAAGTACGAGCCCCACTCAGGGGGAGGGGCGCCTGTACCTGACCTTTCGCAGACATCAGACATCCTGCAGGGTCCCTCGAACTGGAATGAACATCGGAACCCCAAACAATTATAAACGCCGATAACTATTGCTATGCTTCTCATACTGTCAAATATCCGTGCCTGCCAAGACCATAGCTGTCGGCTGTCATGTGCCTTGAAGTGTTCTCATGGGTCAAAGGGTCTTCTGACCTACGGCTTCGTAATATAACCCTGGCGACATGACATGTCTAGGCAAATGCGTTTCCACATTCTTCAATTTCCTCCCACTTGTACGTTGGCTGGATGCAAATTTCATCGGTCTTCGAGTTTGACCCTCTCCGGTATCGGACGTATAAGGCTACATAAGCCTTCCGCAAAATGGAAATACCAGAAAAACGCATCGTTGTGTTTATCGAGCTAAACCAGTCGATATTTTGCAAGCTAAAAATCGGAGGGGCTAGTCTGAGTACCTGGTCATCTCAAGTGTTCTCCCGTATCTGCCATTTGGTCATCTGCCCATCATGTCTCATACCCCGGTGACTCGTGGTATGGTTCAACTGTGCTGAATATGTTGTGAAGACCATCTTTACTGTAACTTCATGTCACCTTAGTTAGGCATCAAATGTCACCGGGTCCTGGACTTAATCTCGCAATTAGCTTCGAGTACTAGCGTCAGGTCCAGTTTCGTGACTTGGAGATGTTGACTCTTCGGTTTGGTTTTATCACTCTTCATGTTCATGTGGATTCGCACAAGCTTCCCTGCTCGAATCTAGTTGCGGATGCACCTACCAGGGATATCCCGTGATATGAAGTATACTCGGCGCAAAGTTGTAGGGTGTCATTCGTAAGTACACACTCCACTGACCGGCCGAGATGGTGAGGTTCGTGGGAGTCCGACAGGTCTCGCTTCGCCCACATCCATCGATACAGTTCTCTAGTACAGTATGACTGTCTGCAAATACTCTTGTTTCATCTGCCAGTTTTCCCAGAGAAGGTGTACTGGTCTGGCTTTCCTAAGATGACACTACTAAAAATGAAGGAGAGGGGTTGAATATATCAGGTCCTTCATGGCATTCTATGCGTATAGCATTCCTATAATTTGGTAAGCTGGCACTGATATTAACCAAATAAACAGCAACTTTGTACATCATCTCAGATTGATGGCACTATTGGGGCTAAGTGATGGGCAGAATGTGTCTTTCCCTACCATTAATGCAAATTTCTGGTTTTCACTGGGCCTTTCATTCACTACGCGTGTCAGAACTTGCTTCTGCTCCCATTCACTCCCCTCTCGCTTACTCTGTGTTTGCTTGTATACTTCCTACTCAAACCTTCTTTCTCTCCCCTTGTGAATCCTTCTGAGACCAACATTCGAGATTGCACACTCGCGTCTCCATCCCTCCCAGTATACCTGAGGTCTGTGAATACTTTCAGAAAGCACCCCCTCCCCCCTGGTCTGCGGGGTAGGTTGCCAGAGGATTGGAAAGTTCGCAGCACCTTCGACTATAACAGGTAGCCTCTTGGTGTGTTATTCTACCTTCTGTTCATATTCTCTCCTAAATTTAAACCTAACCAACGCAGAATATAAGGTCAAATCTCGTATGTCTTGATTGGACTTTGCCATGGATATCACCTGTTCTTCTCCGTTTGTCTCTGCACCGATTCAGGAGATGGTCGCCGAGCCGATCGACATCGTACTTGATGAGCCCACCGATACCTGTGCGATGGTGGAAGAGAAAGCCGAGGAGATCATCGAGGCTGAGAATGAGAGCCTTGACCAACTGATGATAGAGTTTACCAGAGGGTTTGATCCTGGAAGCTTTGTCGATGAGGTTTCTAAATCACTCCCTCGTATTCTTAAAGATATCTTCCCAGGTTCCTACGAGCATCTTTTGAGCATGCTGTTTGAAAGCGACGACAAAATGCACGCCACCCAGATGAAGCTAGAGGAATGGCTTCTGAAAAGATACCCTCAGATTCTCAACAAGATCGATATCGAACGCCAGGAGACAAACATAACTGATGAGACGTATTTTGGGGCTGAGATCGAGGTCTTAAGAAAGATGGTAGCATTCTTACGCAAGGAATCTGATAAACCAGTCTTCTGGCTCAATGCTCGGCGTGCAAGTCCTATCAAAGCTCGTGAGCAGCTTGAAGCATCTATCCGGGTCATCGAACTGTTCAAAAGCGATGTCATGATTGCGATGAAACTGGACACGGAGGATAGTGAGTGACAATTCCAACTTGAAACTGTAAGAAGTCCATCAGCCTAACGCAGCATAGGAAAAATTTACAATCCTCTCCCCGTCTCCACGGAACGCACCGCTCTATTGAGTATCAAACAACTTCGAATTGACGCATGCAAGGCATCACTTTCTTGGGAAGGTTATATGAACTCTGCTATCGTGTTCACCTCTTTCTTCCATGCCTACAAGGCTTATACCTGCGTGCACAAGCCAGACAAAGCCCGTGCATGGGGCTGGCTCCCACCACAGGGACTTGCGCCTCCACGCTTGTCTGCAGAGATAGCCCAGGTGGGTGATTTGGTAAAATGGGACTTTGAGCATGAAAACAGCGCATTCGATCTGCTACTCAAGACGGCCCTTTGGCTAGGTATGGCGAGAGGTCTCCCAGCGGTGCATCTATTCTGTGACGTCGCTCGACTTTTCACGACGCACAAGCCCTCCCCAACGGCAAACGAGCCATATATCAGATTTCTGCGTCATCTGGCACAAACAAGAGTCTCCATTGCCGGAATCAAGTCCACTCCGCCCACGCCTGTTCCATTCAAGGGGTCCGACGAAAATACCAATCGTGGTTACTTCGAAGACGTATTCGATTCAGACAAGATCTTGGAGAAGGACCTAACCAAGACCCTTTCGTTGCTTGCCATGAATACCAATGACTTCAAGCTATCTGCCACGCCTCCAAAATACTCGTTTCGCAAGAAGGCGAAGATGATCGAGCAGGCTTGTGTTATGGAAGAGAATCACACGGACAAGTGGCCTCAGAAAGATCCGGCAAGTCAAGGAAATTAGTTTAATAGGTCATTTTGTATTCCTTTGCTAACATTGTGTCCTCCTAGCACCCTGTGAAACCTCCTTCTCCAATTCCTGCGGAATCTGAACCGGCTTCGCCCCCGCAGGAGACGGAACCTGACTTTCTTGATCAAATCGATTACGTCTCAGTCTGTCCTTGGTGATTGAATATCTTGAGCTTTCAGGATTTACGAGGCATATCAGAACAGCTTCACCCATATGTCAGCTAATATTTGAACAACATTCTTAACGAACGTCTCTGATTGATCTCAAGATGAAAATCAAAACGAAAGAAAACCTCTCCACTCTGTCGAAAGCAAGAAGGTATGCCAACCAAAGCTCACCCCATTGATTGGCGATCGTGAGCCGTACTTCAGGAAAATCACAAAACCCCTCGCTCAGTTGTTACAATTTCCCTTCTATTTCCTTCAGTTGCCATCCCAGTCTCCAGGGTTGCACCAGTTTCGACACTATGACACTCACCGCACGCCCATGTCATTGCCAAACCGCTCTAGCTCTGGTAGTCAAGAGCAGTTAGGCGAAGACTGCGGGCCGGAGAAGCTGACATTACCGTCGAAACAGGAGCCAATCCAGGATCGATTTAGGAAGATGCAAACTCGCTATTACTTCTTCTCCCTCACTTTTGTGTATTAGGCAAAATGACAAAAACAAAAAAGCAAAGTCATCGCATCTCACCTCACCGCACAGTGGTCCGACCCTAACCAGGGAAAAGACCATGAAGTTCATTTGTTGACGTTTTCCCCAATTCACACTCCATTCACACCACTCACCTTTTGTATGTGCAAACGTAAGCTGACTTTACTATCTACAGGGCAACCCTCTTTTTTTCTCCTCCTCGTGAGATCGCCGCGGCAACCGTGCAACTTTTGTGACAAGCGTTCAATGACATCGTCCAGGACCCGCCTCTCTATTGTTCTTGTTCGTGATTGTATTACTTTGATTTATTCTATTCATTGCCTTGCTGGTTCAAGGTGCTTGCACGCATTCACTGTTATGTATACTACTGACTATTCTTTTCTTCCTTGGCTTCCTACTTGCAAATATCCTCTCCTCTCTCAACACGATGATGCCGCTTCACTGGCTGGCTGGTTGACTATACATGATGCTGACGACACTGATGATATTGCATGGAATGTGTTCCCCTGTCTTGCATTTTCCTTGTCTATTATGCATGTGACAACTGGTGCTGCGCACCTTGGGGGCCTGATGATGTGGGAAACATGTTGCATTTCGCATTTGAACTCATCTAGAGACACTACCTAGCTAGAAGCTCGATCATTCGAGACAAAATCATGGATAGGGAGAAGGGTAGGAGTCAAAGAGAGACGGAAAGAGTGATAAAAAACAAACATAGACGCTAGAGACGATTCATTATGTCTACTTTTAAGTATCTTTTGATCATGAATGAAACGTTATGTAGCCCGAAATCGTGTCAAACAAATGTAAGTAGACCAGACAAGATAAGGTAGTAAGAGGAGAGTTTTCCCTATGAATCCGCCATATTATACGCCAACAAAGGATCAATCATCGCCATATCATCAGCACTGGGTATCTTAGAAGAAGAAGCAGCAGAAGGAGGAGGAAGAACATCGACATCGACATCTTGAATCATAGCATCAGCAAAGTTGCTGGGAAAGTCGCCGGGGTTATTTTCATTAGTTGTAGGGTCACCACCATTACCCATCGTGTATAGACCAGGTTTTGCATCCGCATGCAAGATATACGGTTCATAAGGAGCGGAGGAGTCATCGTTATCGAACTCGAGTCCACAAATACCAAACATGTCGCCGGTAACGGGCTCATTGCTGTCCGCCAGTAGCGCGCGCTGCATGAACATATCGCGGATCTCGTCCTCAGTGCATCCGTGCTTACTGCCCATATGGACCCACAGATCGTAGTTCCGGTGGAACCGGTGTGGACAGCCTTCGATGAAGCAGGTGATCTGTCGGCCGGTTTCTTCGGCATAACCTTCACCTGTGAGAGCGGCCAATGCGGACGGACCGGTTTGGTGAGAGTCCGGTGTCTTGTTCAGACCTAGACGCTGTCGGCGCTCAGCTTTGGCGTTGGGGAAGCCGAGATGTGCGGTGCGAATGTGCTCCTCTAGGGCGAGTTTACTTCCATAGCGTTTTCCGCAGCCGTCGGCGCCTGTCCAGCCGACGACTCGCTTGGACATGGACAGGTCGGTCTCGCCGCAGACGAAGCGCTTTTCGCCTTGGTGAACGGTGCGGATATGCACGGTTAGGTTGCCCTTCTTGGTGAAGCTGCTGTCGCAACCGGGTATGGTGCAGGGGAAGACTTTTCGCTCTTCTAGACTCACGTTGCCGTGGCTGACTTCCAGATGACGGCGGAGTTCTCGGGCTGTGGAACAGATCAGGTTGCAATTGGGACATTGTGGGGGGTGGACTGTTCGGACGTGAGCTTGGAGGAGGGCGTAAGTCGGGAATGTTGATGTGGTGGGAGCGGGAGTCTCGGATGATGATGATGATGGGTTTGCCTGCTCGGCCTGCTGGGTACACTCCGTGCAGGTGAACCGTTTCTCGGTGTGGATGCGACTTTCATGAGCTCGAAGGTGTCCTGCGGTGTCAAATGCCATTGGGCATTTCTGGCCGGTAGTCGGGTCGATGTGCGGGCAAGAGAAGGGTTTCTGTTTCAAATGCACGCTCATGATGTGTTTTTGGAGCGTCGAGTGTTTCCGGAAGGTCTCATCGCAGGGCGGAAATTCTGTGCAGCGGTACTTATCTCTGCCATCATGAGCAGCTATGTGTCGACGAAGACGTGAGCCAGTTACGAAGCTCTTCCCACATCCGGGGCGATCGCATACGTAGTCTCTGATCCCGGTATGGGCGCTTTTAATGTGATGGCTCAGATGCGATGCTCGAAGAAACGTCTTATCGCAATCGTCGTGGGTACATCGGAATAGTCGTTCATTGTTGTGTGAGCGCAGGTGTTCCTGTAGTCGTGCTGGACGGTTGAAGGCCTTGGTGCAACCTTCGAAAGGGCAGCGGTGAGTTTTCAGCTCTGAAGGATATCTAGCGGATATAGTCGACATTGGAGTAGCTGGTGTCTCGTGAAGACTACCGCTAGCGACACTGGAGTCATCCGAAAAGTCATACTCGGGGTCCGAGTGTTTTTCTTCATATATTGGGTCTGGAGTATATGGCAGACAATTAGTATCAGACGGAATCTAGACTCGGCCTCTGGGCATATCTTACCGACATCGTCCAGCGTTGTCCGGCTTTGTAGCCGCTTCGCGTTGGGGAGATCTCCCGAGGCTTTTCGCTTCTGAGCCATAGCTCCGCGGCCCTCTAGACCATCCAAGCCGCCTGATTAATGAGCACTGGACTGGCGACAGGGAAGAAAGAAAAATCAAGATGAAAGTGATGGCTGCACGACGACATCCAGAAATTTTGCCGAGGCGGTGAACAGCGGCACCCAAAGGAGTCTAGCGCCGGACGAGCAACAGGAACTTTTTCCGGGTTCTGAGAGTCGCGACTTCGATTTCTTCACGAGGAAGAAAAGCCCGTCGCAACAGTTCATCGTCTCGTCCCCAACCCGGCCCGGTCGCGGTGCTGTCATTGTTTTCGTTGCTGCCATATTCGATTGGTGTTTCGTCCCAATCTTGCCCTACTTAATCCGCCACCATGTCTGACTACGGAGATCACGACGCTGAGGAAACGTAAGAGACCGGCGCCCCATGAGAGCTTGCGCAGGCCAATGCTGCGCGTCTGCGTTGCCTGTCGATAGTCGTCATGTCTGCTAGGTGAAAGTTTCGATGTTCTGACTAGGATTGTCTTATAGTTACGACTACGAGCCGGAGCAGGAGTACGATGACAACGAGCCCGAAGATTTTCTAAACCCCGAGGATGTCGATGTCGCGGAAGGAGGCGCCGATGAATATGGCGAAGGCTCATACGCGCCTGCCGTCAACGGAAACCACATTGTCGCTTCAGGCGACCCGAATGCGGGGTATGCGGGCAAGGTCATGGAGCAGACGCGGGAGAAGAAGGTTCCGAACGACCAGCGCCAGACAACTCCATACATGACCAAGTACGAGCGCGCGCGTGTCCTGGGTACTCGGGCCCTGCAGATCAGGTTCGTCTCGGCAATCGATGCGGCATCAAGGATGGGTTGAGAAGCGCAATCGGATGCTGACCATGTCTCTAGTATGAACGCCCCAGTGCTCGTCGATCTCGAGGGCGAGACGGATCCTCTACAGATTGCCATCAAGGAGTTGAACCAGAAGAAGATCCCACTGATTGTGCGGAGATATCTTCCCGACGGATGGTAAGCGGGCCTTCTCCATGTGGGTTTGACAATTTGACATATTCGATCTAATCATTATTTTTGTGATACAGGTACGAGGACTGGACTTGCGAAGAATTACTCTAGACGTGGAGACGACAGGTGGTTGTATTTTTTTCCCAAAATGGCTTCTTGGTACTTTATTGTGTATGTGTTTGGTCTAAGGATCTTTCCCTCTGGGCAGCATAGCGTTTGGAGTTTCGGAGTAGGGTAGCGGGCCATACTGGCCTAGGCAGCCACTGGGACACTGGGAAGACGAAAGAAAACTCAAAAGAATAACGCACTGCAGTCTATATATTAGTAAAATTCAAAAAAGTTTGATGTTGACATGCTTTGGTGTGGAATAATCTAGGCCTTTTTGTTCGCAATCTACTGCTCTAGAGGCAATGGCGTCTTCACTACTGAGCCATCCAGAGCGCTTCACAGAGGTGGTCTCAGATGTAAAACCAACATTGACGACCCGAGGTCTGTTTTCAGGTCCTGAGCGGGATGATGACTCCAATTTGGAGATGTATGAAGTAGCAGGCAGGGTAGTTTGTGACTGGCACTGTAGCAGATGGATACTTTGGGGCTCTGATGCAACTGCAAGTATGGCGTCAACTCCTCACATGGCATTGTTCCCACATTCCCGGTAGATAAGCGCGAGCATTCCTTTTCTGAGATATGACATGGTCCAGATGCTCACGTCAAGCTGCGACGAGTCTGTAGGAAATGATGGCCTATCCTCTATCTTTTCTATTCTTACTGACCATGACCACGTCATAAACTCGTCTGACCCGTCTCAAGTGCTTCGACATGCTTGCTCTTGGGAGCCTCCACAGAACACGTAGGAGTCATTAACAGAGATGTTGCGTTCAATGTATTTGCTCATGAATACTAGCTAAGAGTCATCAATGAGTGGATCTAGGCGACACAAATGCCTCATTCGGAGTATATTTTGGACGAGTAAGATAAAGTTGATACTGACTTTGCCATACGGACTTCGGTCCGCGCTTCTCAGACCGCCAGTGTATAGACTGAAACAGCCGAGTCGGAGAGCACAATTCGAACGTCGTGGCTTGTCTCGCGTTGCCGAACTGCACGGAAAGCACTAATGCAAGATGACATGCCGTGATTGGCTGCATGTGGTCAGCCCATCATTGAGGGACACAACTTCTCCTCTCTTCTGCTCAGTTTCAAGGCATGGATAGCCTGGTTTTGAATCCTCCTCATACATTGTCGAGTCGGTCAGCCACCTTTTCTTGCACAATCACAGGCTTTAGTCTATGTATCAAGCAAACCAGCAAGTGTTCACCAATCCGTGGTTTGGTCACCTTTTTTTTTTTTTTTTTCTGCCAGCCGATCTTCATCGGCGATGAGACCGTCTTGTTTCGGGAAACAAACTCGGAGCGAAGACCGATATCTCCGAAGAATTTCAGTCCCGCATTTTCTGGCTTACGAATAAGCGCTCGAGGGTCTCCGAATTTAGCATCCTTCTTATTGCTGCTGATACTTTTCGGCGGGTTAGTTCAGCGTGCAGTAGGCCCTGCTATCGCTATGTTCTCTGTCGCCAGTTACACTGTTCGTTCTGTTCTAGGAGGATCGGGCTCAAGATGGACGGACCGTTCCTTGACCTGTCAAGCCTGAACAATGTGATTCATTCTTGTGTCTCAAGAGTTCAAGCCAGCGTCGCATTCGCCAAGAATAAGTAGGTCAACGGACCAAATACAGGATGGACTACAAAGAAGTGATATGCAGTTCGGCCCCCGCCTGGATAAATCGGCACGCTGTCACCCTCCCAAACACACTAGAAGTCCACTATCTGCAGTCATCCTCCAATCGTGCTTATGCAGAGCATACCTTCAATAACCGCAGTCGTGAAGCGCAGGGCGTACCCTTGTCTTCCCCCAATCACCCATGCTCGTGGACTAACTTCTCCAACTTCTCCCCGACAACACATCAAAGACATGTTCCTGGGGAAAGAATGGGCTCTGTGGCTCCGTCCCTCGGCAAGTGACTCCATCGCTTACCCGGAACCCGCTCATTGCTGGTCCAGTAGGCTCTCTTCCCACGATGGGGCCATCAGCCAGAGCCTGGTTCCCTTGACTGTCTCCATTCCCACTCCCAGGGGATCAGTCAACATGAATGGCCACCGATGAGTGGATCCCCTTACTCAGTCTTGGTTGAATCTGCTTTTCTAGCTCCCCAAGCTTAGTCTTAGCCGGGGCTTGGAGGCACTACCTTAATAAATTTTTTACTGTGTGCCGCTATGATTCATTTCTAATCACAGTATATAGTGTGAGCCTGACCTCCACCTGGGGTCGCCCTCCTCTCTGCTCCTAGTCCCCCGGTCCTGAGAAATATATCTTAAGTGGTGATTTAAGCTCTCAGTGAGTGCTGTTTGGGCTGTGTTCACGTCGACTGCTACTAGGGTTATCTGATCCGCTGTCTGTTTCGCCCTCCAACCCTTTACCTTTATCGTCCACTCCACCAGACGGTCCGTCTGATCGATTATTATTGGGGTGGAAAATGGGGACCAATGCTGATTACGACGAGAAGGCTGTTGCGGGATCCCTCACTGCAAACAACAATGGCGACTGCCATGAACTTCCTACTCCGTCAGAGGAGAAACCCTTAGAGGAACCGATCTTCGATACCGGCTTTAAGTCATGGATCCAAGTGCTAGGCTCTTTCTTCCTCTTCTTCAACTCATGGTATGTGAGGCCCTCTACTCTGATACCATGTAGGTCATCAACTGACGAAAGATGACGCGCCAGGGGTGTCATTAACACCTGGGGTGCTTTCCAAACGTATTATGAGCAGGACTTGTTGTCGGACATGTCATCGTCCAACATCGCCTGGATTGGCTCTCTCCAGGCTTTCCTACTCATGCTTTTTGGTGTGGTGACAGGACCTCTCTTCGATGCAGGCTATTTCCGTGCTCTGCTCACGTTTGGAAGCATCATGCTTCCCTTTGGGTTGATGATGACCAGTCTTGCTACCAAGTTCTGGCAGCTGATCCTGGCCCAAGGTATCGTTATTGGTCTGTCTGCCGGATGTCTGTTCGTCCCATCCGTCGCCATTTTGCCTCAGTACTTCAAGAAGAGACGTGGTCTGGCCAACGGCCTGGCCGCTTCGGGCAGCAGTATCGGAGGTGTGATCTACCCGATCATGTTTGACCAGCTACAGCACAAGGTCGGCTTTCCCTGGGCAACTAGAGCTATCGGCTTCCTCTGTTTCGGAACTTGCTGCATCTCATACAGCATCATGCGTATGCGCTTCCAGCCGACAGAGAAGCGCAAGCTGGTCCAATTGGCTGCCTTCAAGGAGCCGCATTTTGTGATGTTTTGCATTGGCATGTTCCTGGGTTTCCTTGGATTCTACAACTTCCTCTTCTATATCCAATCCTATGCCATCGACACCGGAATTGTTGGTTCCACCCTCGGATTCTATCTGCTCTCCATGCTGAATGCGGGGTCCACCATTGGACGTATCTGTCCGAACTTCATCGCAGACCACACGGGTCCCCTGAACGTCCTCACTCCTGCAGCTACCGCTACCGCTATTCTTGCCTTCGCTTGGATCGGAGTCCACAATGCGCCAGGCATCATCGTTCTCTCCGTACTGTATGGTCTCTGCTCCGGCGGTTTCGTGTCACTTCCACCGGTCGTGATGGTGACTCTGACCAAGGACATCCGGGACCTGGGAACTCGTCTAGGCATGGTGTTCGCAATCACCTCTGTCGGACTGCTGATCGGTACACCTATCGGCGGAGCCATCTTGAGCAACTCGGGCAGCTACCTGGGAGTGCAGCTCTTCACAGCCTGCTGTCTCATCACGTCTGCCTCCGTCTTTGCCGCGCTGAGATTCTCTCGCTCGAGTATGAGACTGATCGCGCGTGTGTGAGCGCGGCCTGACAACACACCAACTTCTATTCCCACTTCAATCAATTACGCCGCGACTGCATCAGCTCACCTCCATGAGAACTGCTACCTTAATACTTGATGACCCAAAAGAGTTGCATATTCCATCCAAACATTTGCATTTACATCATGCATCATTGGAGAACCGGTGTTTTCTATTTGGGATGATAAAAGTTTGATCTTTTGATTACGATAGATAGGATTCAAGACTAGATTAGAACATATTGCTTAATGTATTACGATTCAGATTGATTGATTAGAATTAATGCATGCATGCATGCATGGATACCATTTCAAGCCTGTTTTATTTTAGATAACTTCAGGTCTGACAATAATTCTATTCAGGCCGTCCCTAGTTCACTCAGCATGCATGGCATGACACGTCCGTTCATCAACCCAGAATAGAAATGATAATAATAATGGAAACGCCCAAACACCAAATGCTCGAAACCAACCAACCGACAAACCACTTTTCTCTTATGCTATTCATCAACCCTCGTTGTCGTCTTCACACCATCATATGTATAGATACCTAGACCCGTCCAATTCATCCATCATCATCATCATCACCCCTCCGAACGAAGCGTCCTACGAAACATGAATCGGATCCACCAAAAACTCCTCCCCATTCTCCCGAATATGCTGGAGCTTCTTATCGCGACTGCACGGCTTGCGCATATCAAAGGCATCTTCACCTGAATCGGAGAAACCTGTTGGATCGTCACTGTAGTAGTTTACTACTCGGCGGAAGACGGAGTATCTGCGTGGAACACCACTATTAGCATCATCATGTTCCTTTTGCGCGGAACCGAGTGAAACCACAAGAGCTCGGACAGGAAAAGCGAGAAAATGAAAGTAGAGAAAAGGGTATAAACTCACCCCATGCCCTTATACATCCCCACGGCAACTTTATTCCCCGCTCGCACATAGAGATCGACAAACCAGGCATCGTTGATATCGGAGCCCTGTTCCAGACGTTCGGTGAGACGACGCGCGTGGCCGAGACGGCGCCATGCGGGCGCAACGGTTAAAACGGTAATGTGGCCGTGCCAGGGCGTGTAGTGTTCGGAATGGCGCATCGAGGCGGGTTGTTCTTCGAGCTTGCCCATGACTGATGACGCGCATTTAGTGGTGATTATTACAACTCGAAGGGTGGTGGGAAAGAACTCACTGTAACCCACGATGCCTTCCTGGCGATCCTGAACGCTGCTAAAGAGGGAGGGCCATCGCATGAGGTAATTGAGGTAGAATCCGAGGTCGTAGTTTTCGGTCAATGGGTCGAGGTTGGTGAGGTTGAGGGACAGAAGGTCCGTTGGGGACATGCGCCGGATGGAACTCATGGTTGGTGTGTGTGTGTTTTTTCCTTAGGGGGAAGATTGAGCGGTGGTTCTCAAGAAGATAGTCTAATAGATGGAGGGGAAAGATGAAGCAATTTGGGGAGTTGATCGGCGAGTCAATCGGGGCTTGGGCGGTCACGGGGAGGAGATCTTTTTGAGGGTCGGGCTTCTTTCTCCCTCTCCTTCTGTGCCCCCCTCATTAGTTATATTATTATTGTTGTTCCTCTCTCCTTCCCTCTCTCTCTTTCTCTCTCCGGCTCATTCTCTATTTTATTTCGACTCTTTCGTTCTCGGGATAGCCGGTCTCGACTTCTTCGTTCCTTATACTCTTTTTCCTCTTTCCCTCCCGTCCTTTACAACTGGCTGCGTGGAAAAGCATCCTGGTGATGCGGTCGGCGATCCACCATTGACTTCCGTTCCCCTGTTCGTTATTTACTTCGCGGCAGCCACTTAACGATTTGCAAAGAATCTACAACAAACAACCCCTGTTTCCCTTGTTTAGACCGTCGGGTTTTCCACGCCAAACTATCTCCTTGACCCTTCAACGCCTACACCGCATCCTCGTCTCTCTCTCTCTCTCTCTTCCCCTCCTTTAAATCCTGCAACATGCCGTCCATCCCACCTCCCCTGACTATATCTCACCGCCATACTCGGAGTCGCTCCTCCAACATCGACATCGACCCCATTTCTCCTGGTACCTACGCTCCCAACGGCTTTTCCTACCGGTCGCCTCGGTCGCCTCATACGCCTCGTTCATCCATCCCCTCTTCTCCGGTGGACGTCCGCCCTCACCACACTCAATCATTCAATGGCTCCCATAGAATGTCGGGCGACTTCGGCGGTGCTGCCAACGAAGGCGGCGGACTAGGAAACTTGGCCGATGAGCTCGCGGATGCATGGGAGGAGGAAGAAGGTGGTTACGGATACACGTCGGGCCAGGATGCCGGGGCCCCTGATGCACAGTATGTGGATCGCAGTGACGATGAAGATGCATACCACCGCATGGGCACCGGGGCCCGCACACCTTCATCGGGCTACTCGTCGGAACGGAATTCTTCTCTGCAGCCTCCGAAGCCCAAGACCCGTAATGGTGCCCATCGACACCGGCGGCACGAGTCGCAATATGATGGCTCCGATTATGGAAACGATTCGGATTTCGAGGAAGCGGATATGCCGCCTAGCCTAGAGATGCAGATGGCGGAGATCGAGAGTCTAGCTCGTCGCGGACTAGAGAACAATGGCAGTGAGAATGACTTTGTGATTCAACGGGCGGTGGAAGCTCTCCGGGATCTTGGCGGGCAGAGTGGGATTGAAAACAACGCCATGAGGTAGGTGGATCTGTTGTTGTCTGTGACTTGGCAGGGTGTCTTGGTCTGCTCGGAATAATGGCTGGCTAACACAACTTTTGAAATCTAGACTCATCACTGCACACTCGTCCATCACCTCACATCTTACCCATCAGACTCGGGCACTTCAGACCCTCACCCACCCTCTCCTTTTCTCGCCATTCCCGCTCCTTTCCTCAGATGCTATAGATGCGCTCATTCCTCTCATCGACGAAGAACTCCTGCCTAACCTCCCCTATCCTTTCCCGGAACAGCCACGTCACTCCTCAAGACCCACTACCCCCTCCCAGTCACCGGCCCTGAACCCTCTCGTCTCCCTGCAGACCCTTGTGTCGCAGACATCTGACATCACCCTGTCGCTCCGGGGCCTGAGCGATACGTTGTATGAGTCGCGCCAGCTTACATCCACGGCATCGCGACGACTCCGGTCTGCTCGCGAACTTGTAGCCGACCTCCGCCGCGAGGAAGAAGGCGTCGAGGAGGGGACCCGGTGGATCGAACGAGGCGACTGGGACCGCCGACTTCGGGATCGCGAAGCCGGCCGAGTCTGCGGAGACGTAGTCAGTGGCTTCGAGGCGGTGTGCGGTGAATGGCGAGAGAAGCTCTTCGGGGCAGCCGCTGGAGCCGAAGTGGCTGCTGCTTGAGATGATGACTATTTCCTTAAGGTAAAGGGGGAGGGATAATGGATATAGACAAGGACGGATGCTACCAGTTTCTTCTTCTTCTTCTCACGGGATAAATTTTTTTTTCTCGTCTTTTCTGTTTTTTTTTGCCCTTGACATCCCAGACATATTGTCTTGAGTACTACTGCCAGAGATAGCGGCCATACCCCCTTTTGCAAATTTCCTTTATAGTATATAGATTATTCATCTGGGTTCGTCCATCCATTCATCCATCCATCTGTTGTTTTTTACCCACCTACATATTCCACAGTTGCTATGCATTCATTCATTCCACCAAATTTGAAGCAAAGTATGACCTTGTTCAGTTTGTCCTGTCAGAATCTCTCACCGATATCCAAATATCCATGACCCACACATCCAAACCTCCAACTCCGACACCATAGAAGTACATACATACATACATACATACATACATTCAATGCATAGACTATACTTTCCTGGTATATTACTCAATACAAGGTAGGTATCAAGTCTAAATAGATCCCACAATAACTAATACACCCCAACACTCTTCTTCACTTCCCCCCCTTCCTCATAATCTGGTCTATTTAGCAAGTTCCTCAGTGTAGGTAGCCAGCCACGCCCCTGAGAAAATCTGTCTGTCACAGGTACAGTTTCACCAAGTGTATGGTCAGTTTCAGGTATTGTATTGGTGACAAGACAGAAACTTCCTAAATTCCTTTCCTATTCCTTGTATTGAGATTAGGGCTAGAGACAGAGCAACTGGGGACCAAAAGGAAGGAGGGGGGGAAGAAAATAGAATTAAAAATTAATAAGGGAAAATGCAGATGATGGAAGACATGTAGAACATGGTATTTAGGTAGTACGACATTTACTACTTTCTTTGCACTTGATTGGTTTGAAACGGATCATCGTTGGTGGTGCATGATACCGGTGGTTTCATGCCGATCACAGTCTAATCTACTTTTTTTGTATGATGTGAGATATAGATACACTACGAGTCGAGGATAGTTGTTGAGGAACGAAAGAAAATACTATGCATTTGGTAAAAAAAAACCATGAGATCGGGTAATGTAAGAAAAAATCAATCAATCAATTGACATGGCATGCCCAGAAAAAGAAAAATTAAATCAAGCAGTTGGCGGTTTGGGGGAGGCAAAGAGCTTTAACTACAACCTCATGGTATGAAGAACCCCCGATATCTATCTCTCTCTCTCTCACCTCGCAAAGGTTCATACCTCATCAACTAAAAGAACTAAAAGACGTAGTAGGAACATTATGGAGGTAGGAAAAAAAAAAAGAAGAATCGTACCGGGTTTGAGGCTAAGGAAGGAGACAAAAAAGGTACTATGCGAACATGAAGATGGGGAGGCGGGGCGGAAAAGTGTTTGAAGGTGGATGAGAGTTGTGTGTTTATACAACACAAGGATGAAAGAGAGAGAGAAAAAAGAGAAAAGAGGAAGGTTGACTCATATCACACGCCCTTTCATCAAACATCCAAAGAACTTTTTCATGTCATCATGCGATTTACTGGCCACCCTGCTGCTGCTTCCATCTGGGCACCCACTTGCCAGCGGCAGGCTTGGACTCCTCGGTCTTGTCAGAGCTGGAGCCGGGGGTCTGCGTGCGGGAGGGGGGCTGGGAAGAGCCGGCCTCACGCATGGCACGGGGAACGTAGCGCTCCGTGGAAGGAGCAGGAGCAGCACGCTCAGGAGCAGCAGGGGTAGCACTGGCACCCGAGCGCAGGTGAGGAGGCACGTAGCCTCTGCGCACGGGAGCGGGCTCCTCGCGGGCAGGCTCGGGAGCAGCAGCAGGAGCACCACCAGTAGCCTCCTTGGCAGCCTGGCGCTCTCTCCAGCTGGGACCACCACCAGTGCGAGGAGCCAGGTTGAGACGAGGAGCAACGCGTTCCGTAGGAGCAGCACGCTCAGGAGCCGGCGCAGCCTCGCGCTCCGCACCACCGGTCCGGCGAGCGGCACGGCGAGCTTCGGCTTCCTCTTCACGCTGCTTCTGCTTGATAGCAAGTTCATCGAGTCTCCTGTAAGGCGGGTAAGCAATTAGTGGTCTTTGACAAATTGGGCGAGGGGGGGTTGTGGATACTGACTTTCTCTCTTCCTCACGCTTGACCTTCTCCTCAGCCAGGACACGGCGGCGCTCCTCCTCCTTGGCGGTTCTCTCCTCCTCCTCGCGACGGATGCGCTCCTCCTCTTCCTTGCGGCGGCGCTCTTCCTCCTCACGCTCGGCCCGCTCACGGCGTCTGCGCTCCTGGACCTCCTTGATACGCTGCTTCTTCTTGGCCTCGAAGTCGCGCTCAGCGGCCTTGCGGCGCTTCTCGAACTCCTCGTGGCGCTTCTCGGACACCTCCTTGCGGAAGCTGTTGAACTGGGGCACCAGGCGGCTGAGACGGTGCTTGAGGGCAACGGCCTCCTTGTGCTTGTCCTCGGCCTCCTTGAGAGCCTCGGCCTTGGTGGTCTCGTAGATCTCCATGTCGCGCTGCTTCTGCTTCTCATAGTCCTCGGGGATGTGCTTCAGTTCCTCACGACGGAAGGCACGCTCCAGATGGTCAATGCGCTTGGCGGTGGTGCGAATGCGGTCGTTGAGCTCGTTCTTCTCCTTCTCCAGCTGAGCCAGCTTCATGGCACGGAGGCGGTTGGCATCGAGCTCGTTCAGGTCAAGCTCGCTGATGTCAATGCCCTTAACACCAGTCTTGAGCTCCTCCAGCTGCTTCTTCAGCTCCTGCTGGCGGATGCGGTCCTGCTCATCCTTGATGCGCTTCTTCTCACGCTCGCGGTGCTCATCCAACAGACGCTGCTTCTCGGCTTCCTGAAGCTGCTGGGTGCGGATGCGCTTGCGAGTCTCCTCCTCGCGCTGCTTGCGCTGCAGAGCATCGGTGGCGGCCTCCTTCTTCTTCTCGATGATGACGCGACGAGCCAGAGTCTCCTCGTGCTCCTTGGCGGCACCAGCCTCGGCGCGGGCAAGGGCGGCACGCTTGGCCTGCAGGCGGGCCTCGTTGTACGAGGGGTCGACGTACATGCAGGTCACATGCAGGGTCTTGGCCAGGCGAGTGAGCTGTAGGCGGGCAATCTCAGCGGGGGTGTTCTGCAGGCGCTGGACGGAGCCAACC